ACACACTGTTATCACAATGTTACAACACTTGTGTGCATTACATGCACTGTTACAACCACTGTTACACACTGTTATCACAATGTTACAACACTTGTGTGATATGACCATGTTGCACTTTATGAGAAAACTTGTAAAGTCTTTTAAAATGCATGGGACTATACACAATTGATGCATTCATGCACCATATTGCAAATAATACATATTCATTTTGATTACAGCACACAACAGTGTGCATGACAATAATGTTGCAACAAAGTAAAGGCAGTGTTAACACAATGTTGTTTTCTGCAATTGCCAGTAACACATAAATTGCTCTTTACAATCGTTTTACAGCAATTTCTTGTTGCAATAAACATTACAGCACTTACTATAATAAAATTACAATAATGCTTTTAAAAGCATCACAGAAAAACGTTTCTTACAGGGTAAACTACGCTTCTAAAAGAGTCAAGAGTTATTTTGACTCTTTCAAAAGCATCAAAGAAAAATGTTTTTAACAGTGTAAAAAACGCTTTTGAAAGAGTCACAAAAACATTTTCAACAGGGTAAGAAACACTTTTGAAAGCATCAGAAGCTGACGCTTTCAAAAGCGTCATGGAAAAACGTTTTTAACAGCGTAAGAAACGCTTTTGAAAGCGTCAGACTCTGACGCTTTCAAAAGCATCAACTAAAAATGTTTTTTACCCCATCCTGACCGAGTCAGGAAAACAGATCCCTACTTGCATCCAAAACTGTTTGACCACCACCTGAAATGGCCAGGATACGCGTAAAAATAGCCACTATCTCAGGTGGCAATCTGAAATTTTTGCTGGGTAGGATATATATTTCAGGAGGTGTCTCTTTGAATCCAACATCAAAGTTTGTTAGTGCTAAGATATACAGCGTTTTTCTTTTTCAGCCAAGACCCGTCTGAGGTTGTTCCTGTTCTCAAAATCAGATCATTCTCGACAGTTGGGTAAAGCGAGAATTATAAGTCACAGAGATGTTTTTCTCAGGTCCAAATTTTATCCCAAAAAAAAAATTGTATTTGATAAAAATGCATGGCACCGTACTGTGTTTTATTCTGGCTGTTCACCATTGATTTTGAGGACGGCGACAGCCTCATTTTTGTCAACCAAGAGCAGCTTGATCAACAAACGCAATCATCAATTTATGGCACTGTTATTTCCATCCTAGCATTTGTTGCATGAAAAAAAAATTAAAAGCGGCGGATACTGCATTGCATTAAAAGCACGTACTGAAGAGTTGCCAAATGATGGGATTATATGCAAGTAAAAAATAAAAAGAAATTGTTCAAACTCCATCGGATCTATTTGAAAAATGTTCACAACAGCATATGAATATGATGATGAATCAACCCTTGTAAACGGAGTGATGCGAGACACTTAATTTTAAAATATCAGTACTAAAATGCAAAGAAAATTGGCCGAAGCAGTAGGGCAAGGGTCAAATTACAAATGTCAACCTTCCCACAAATTCAACCATCACATTGCGGGACAGTCGAATTATGGGAGGTCAAATGGCAATAATAAGGTAGCACCTGCATGTATCATATGAACTTGCTGGTTAAATTCCTGTATCTTGGGTTCTTGTGTTTCCTGCTGGTGTTTGCTTGGGTTGGTTATATGGGCTTATCTGTTCTCCTGTCAGTATTCATCTTCCATCACGTCACTGGG